AATATATATATATAAATACATTAAATACACAGCCTTCGCTCCGCTGAGTGCTGGTGGCAATGTAGATGTCTTCTACCCCAAGCTCGTGTTCATCGCCTTGCAGATCGCCTGTCTGGCGGTGCCCTTGTACCAGGCGTATCGATTGGGTCTGTGGCCCACCACAGCTGACTGGCTATGGTTTGAAGAGCATGATCCTGTATGTCTCTCGGTTACACACTGCTAATGCGATGTTTGTGGTATATCAGATGTGTGGACGAGTATTTTCAGTGGCAATTCAGAACACTTTTGGCGATGTGTTCGGACAGAGCTTGGAGTTTCCATTGAACTGCACAACATTAAGATTATTATATCAGTTATATAGTGTACAAGGAAATGATTCTGTATCTTGCTACTACTTAGTCCTAGCTGCACTCAGGTATATTGATGTTGTGGGCTTGTAATCCTGGTCCTGTTGTGTAGACTTCGGGTTTGTAGCTCTTCTCATTTTTTCTCAAAGTACCCCAACACTCAGCCTCTGCCTCGCATCTATTCTTCGCGCTATTTCATCTCACACAGTATACCCTTACGATTATATTATAACCATAAAGCCCTTTAAACCCTATTCGTATCGTAGATTCTATTACATTTTAGTACCCACAGTCGAGTGTGCGATGGAGTATAGCTGCATATGTTCACGTACGATATCTCGCTACGTCTTGGTTAATTTTTGGTCCTATTTCTTGCCTCCGCCTTACAGAGAATAGAAACGTCGATTGGATCGAATATCTAAACCTAGTTTTTCTCCTGATCTCGCACTTGCCGTGGAACCCACCACCGTGTATATCGGAATTCCCAATTTAGCCAATAAAATTGCCATCAAAGTTTTGCCATATGGAGGGGACGCATGCACTTCCCACGTCGTACTGGACTCATAAAAGCCCACTGAGCGCAAAACTCACTCGAACATAAGAATTCGCACCCAAATTGACTAGGACTTGATATCAGAATGCATCATCCTCCGGAAAGCTCTCTTTTGATGGACGAAGGATGAAGCGTTAGTGTGTATTAAACAGATGAGGTGAACAACGTGGCACCACAGTTACAGGTGCTACAGATCACTCGTATTACATTCCATTCTTTAATACGAATTCACCGATCAGGCTCAGTTTCTAAGTTATCACACGCAGATGTCACTCACCTATAAGCATAGATATCAGAGATCTGAATGGTCACCAAGGGTGTAGATCCCCTCATAGAGAGCATGTAGGGTAGTATAGGTATGTATCTCTAAAAGTCTTTATAGGTATGTCTCATGATAGTACTCATACAAATAAGGCGTAGACAGGTAGGAAGGATATATATACTCTAATTTAGTGGGTACATGAATATAAATGTCTCTAAATATCTTAATATGTATGACACTATCTCCATCTACCTAGACATCTAACCTATGGATAACCCCGCACTGCGGGGGATGGATGGTGGAGGGTCTTATGACTCTCCTACATCTTCGATACCCCCAAGAGTGTACAAATAATATCTAAGGACCGGGGAATCACTCATTAGACCCAGATGTAAGCCCTCGAACAATTTCACCTGTACACTACAGAGCAAGACGTTACCTGTATATTATAGAGAAAGATGTTGACCTGTATATAATAAAGAAAGACGTTAACCTGTATACTATGGAGGAAGAAGCTAACCTATATACTAGAGACATACGCTAACCTTTATATTGTAGAGGAAGACGTTAACCTGTATACTATAGAGAAATTTGTTAGCCTGTATACCATAGAGATAAACGTTGACCTGCACAATATAGAGAAAGACGTTAACCTGTATACTATAGAGAAATTCGTTAGCCTGTATACCATAGAGATAAATGTTGACCTGCACAATATAGAGAAAGACGTTAACCTGTATATTGTAGAACAAGACGTTAACCTGTATTTTGTAGAGAAAGACGTTAACCTGAATACTATAGAGATGTACGTTCACCTGTAGAATATAGAGACAGACGTGAAACTGTATACTGCAGAGATAATATAGGGAACGACGTTAACCTGAATACTACAGAGATAGACGTTCATCTGTATAATATATAGAAAGACGTGAGCCTGTTTATTGTAGAGGAAGACGTTGACCTGTTTATTAGTGATAGACGTTAAAGTGTATGTTACAGAACAAGTCGTCAGCCTGTATTTTATAGAGAAAGACGATAGCCTGTGTATTGTAGAGATGGACGTTATCCTGTATATTATGGAGAAGATGTTGACCTGTATTTTGTAGAAGCAAGAAGTAAAGTCACCTGTCGTGTAGGATAGTCGTCACATCGAGTGGTGTCACGAAACCCCGCTTCACTGTACAGTCGTACTGTATACAAATGCTATAAGTTTACTACCCCTTATTCCTATACACTTGTTTATTTGTTTATTACACCTTATTCCTGAAGAGGTCAGCTTATAAACTTGGACATGATGAAATAGTCGTATAATTCGGGATGCTCAGGGTCGCACAGCGTGGGATCGGTCTCATCGTCCACATAGCTGTTAGAGGTTAAGTGATCGGTAGCGGAGTGAGCAATAAGTGCACATACCAATGTGCTGCTACAGTTGTACGTTGTCATTAGCCTAGCTGAGGTGCAGTGGTCATGCACGGGGTTAAGTTATATGGCTAATGATTTACTTCGGGTACCTTAAGCCATACAATTGCATTGCAACACACACCAATGGTGAAATTCGGCGCACATATGCACTTAATGTTACGCTCAGATGTTCAAGTGTAAGTGGCCCGCCCAGCCATACTAGATGCAAAGGCAATCTCAAGCACTTGCGCATACGGAACATTCTGGACGCCATCACACTCGAGTATACGCCATGCCCATTGAGCTTGCAGTGTGTTCGTGATCGCAGTAGTAGCGTCGCAATGGGTTGATTGAGCGACCAGACACTCCTATGGATTTGGTAAAACACCAAAACCAAAACAAAACCCTGTCACTAACACGGGAAACATCAGAACATCCAGAGGTACATAACACCTATCACAAACCTAAGTGGTCGCAATGAGATTGCCCGGCCTGCAGTCGGCTAAGGGAATCTCTTCGCCTTTGCACTTCAAGGTACACATCAATAATCAATAATCAATATCATATCAATATATATATATACATATATATACACATACATATATACATACACACACACACACACACACACACACACACACACACATA